TGTCGGTGAGGGTGTGGTCAAATGAGAGCCCTGAGACGATGCTGGTGAGAAGTAAAACGGGCAGCCACTGTGGAGACAGCCTGGCCCAGCAGGAGTTAGCGTGGAATTGCCATGTGACCCGCAGTTTTATCCACCGGCGTGTTGCCAAGAGAACTGAAACAGGCGTCCATACACGGGCTTTGCTCAGGTGTCCGTAGCAGCCACCGGCCAGACAGATGCGGTGGGCTGCAGGGGGACAGCACTCAGCCCTGAACAGGATGCCTCGGGAACATGGATGAGCCTGAGCCTTCTGCTCAGTGAAAGGGGGGGCACAGAAAGCCACATGCGACAGGGCTCCGTTTAGGTGAGAAGTGTGGAGTCGGTGAGTCCAGAGAGCGCGTGGTGGCTGGGGGAACTGACTCCTTCATGGGGATGGGGTTTCCTTTGGCATGAAAACAACTGAACGAGCTAGAGGTGGTGACTGCAGACATCACGAATACTCCAGATACCACCGAGGTGTACGCTTTAAAGTGATGATGTTAGATGAATTTCACTTCACTATAAAAAAAAAATGAAACTTACATCCTTTAGCTGTGGCTCCTCTACCCCCATCCTCTCGAGCCCTGAGCAGCCGTCCATCTCCTTTCCGCTCCCGTAGACGTGCCTGTTCTGGACTGCCAGTCAGTGGGATCTGCGGTCCCAGGTTTCTTTTACTTAACATTTGTCCTCCCTGGCCATCTGTGTTGCAGCATGTGCCAGTGCTTCCTTCCTTTGTATGGACAGAGAATGTTCCACCGAACAATACCACGGTTTTTGGGGTTTTTTTTTAAAGAATTTTTTGCCAAAGCTCACATGCACACATGGAAGAGAGGACAGAGAGGGAAAGTGAGAAAGCACCCTGGGGGTGCCCATGCTGCAGCCTTCTCCATTCTCCTCGGGAGTTTGGGCACACACACACATGTGCCTGGTATGATTTCCAAGCCTCCAGGTCCAGGACCCGAAACACGGTCAGCCATGTGGGATCCAGTGCCACAGCCACCCCGCCAGCTGCTGGCCCTGTGATACCACATTTTGTTTTATCCACTCGTCAGTCGACAGAGGGACACTCAGGTCATCTCCATCTTCAGCATTATTGCAGAAATTTTGTGTAGAGTTTAACAAAGTCTCTTTTTTTCTTCTGATCTTGCATTTTGAAGCTAACAAGCGATAAAGATGTCCTGCCACCCAGTGGGCTCCCCAGCGCCAGCTTCATCTCTGAGAGGGAGATACAGTGAAATTGTAACTTGTGGCACGGAGGCCACGTGGGTTTAGTAGATTCACAGCTGGCTGACATTGCCTGAGCACTGTGAGCCAGGCACTCTCTTGTGCCTTCATGTATACCTTGTCATTTTTTTTCTCACAACAACTTGTGGAAGTAGATCTGCAGGGTCTTCAAAAAGTTTGTGGAAGAGCTTCTTGTAAGCAGCCTGAGGAGACCGCTGAAAATGGTTTGCTACTCACTTGACCCAGAGGACCCCAGAGAGTCAACGTAAATCACAAGGTTCAAATCTTTGTGCTCACTTTAAGAACACCGATGAAACTGCCCAGACCATCAAGGACATGCATATCTGAAAAGCCACCAAGTGTCTGAAGGCTGTCACTATACGGAGCAGTGTGTGCCGCTTTGTCACAATGGTGGAGTTGGCAGATGCACCAGGCCACACAGTGGGGCTGGACACAGGGTCGGTGGCCCTAGAAGATTGCTGAATTTTTGCTACACATGCTTAAAAATACAGCGTGACGCTGAACATAAGGGTTAGATGTAGATTGGTCATTGAGCACATTCAGGTGAACAAGGCACCCGAGACGCACCTCGTACTCGCAGAGCTCGTGGGCGGGTTAACCCCACGTGAACCACCCCACCATGTCAAGATGATCCTCACCGAAAAGCAGCAAAGTGTTGTCCCTGAACCAGAAGAGGAGGTTGCACAGAAGAAAAGAGAATCCCAGAAGAAACTGAAAAAACAAAACATGGCATGAGGGGCCAGCAGGTGTCATGGTGGTTAAGGTACTAGACTCTCACATGGCCAACTGTGGTTCTAGTCCTGTACCTGTTAGCTTGCTTTTTCACTCTTCCTCTCCCTCTGTCTCTTCCTGGTCAAATTTAATAATGATAATAAAAAATAAAATAATTCTTTTTTTAAAAAATGATAGGGACCAGCAGTTGGCGTAATCGCTATGTCACTGGACTTGCATGTAGTCCACCATGGTTCGAGACCTGGACTGGTGGCTTAAACTCACGCCAGGCATGTGTGTGTGTGCTCAAGATCCCAAGAGGAAAATGGAGAAGGGATTGCGGCGTGACCATCCCCACTGGGGGGTGATTTTTCACTTCCTATCTCTCTGTCTCTGTCTTTCTAGCATGCGCATGCGCCCTATAGCAGAAACAAACAAACAAACAAAAAAAAACCCTTATGGCATGGGAATACAGTAAGCATAACATAAATGTAGATAAAAGTAAAAAAACAAATCTGTGGAAAATGTGAGGGAAGAGGTGTGAGTGGATTTTTTGTTTTATTTTCTATGAACCCTTTGAAGTCCCTTCATATTAGCATTCTCTTTTTTTTTTTTTTTTTTTTTTTTGAGAGATTTTCGCTATAGGCCGGGTGCGCTCGCCAGACAGACAGAGAGAGACATAGAGACAGAAAGCGAGAAATCACCCCCCAGGGGGGATGGTCACGCCGCAATCCCTTCTCCTCCATTCTTCTCTCGGGATCTTGGGCACGCACGCACACGCGCCCGGCGTGAGATTTAAGCCACCGGGTCCGAGACGCGAACCGCGGTCGACTACGTGGGAGTCCAGCGACATAGCCATTACGCTAACTGCTGGTTCCCAGCATTCTCATTTTACAAACAAAATTAAAACTCAGATTAAGTAACTTGCCTTAGTAGATACTGGTTGGCACACGAATGGGTTGGAATTCAGTCCCAGAGGCTTAAGTATTTTAAGTCTGCTGCTTCTGTTGCACCATCCACAGCCACACTAGGACGGTGGTACGTGTGGAGTGGTGGTTCCTGTTTGGCTGTTTCCTGTCAGCCCTTGGTCTCCTCTTTACGCACGTGATTGGTTGCAGGGCTGCTACAATGCTGGTGCCCTTTGCAATGCGAGCCGTTCGGTTCCTCCAAATGGCGTCGTTATCTGAGCTGTACCTTCTTATTGGTGTCCTTTAGTGTGGCAGAGAGATGCCAGTGGAGCAGTTCCCAGGAGCCTAAGCTAAAAGTCTGGAAGGGAGGGGTTAAAATGCATCTTAGAGATCCAAGAATAGAACACCGTTTGGGAGCAGTGACATCGATGTGGCCACTCATACTTCCTTTGTGACACTCCATCATACGTGTTCCTCTGCCTTGGGTCTTTCTACAGTGTTCATGTGCTTAGCTCCAGAAATTGACTTCTGTCTTCCTCTTTTCATTGAGTATGTACTAGAGCAGGCCTGTAGCACCCTCACAGCAGAGGCCATTCTTGTTTGTTTGGTTGGTTTTTTTAAATTTTCTATAGGGTACATGTATCACCAGGGAGAGGCAGAGATAGAGCAAGAGAGAAAGTGAGAAAGCAAGCCCTGAGAGGAATGGCCATGGTGCAGTCCTCCTTTATCCTCTCGGAATTTCGGGCACACATGTACACACACGCCTGGTGTGTTTTTCAAGCCACTAGACCCAGGACTTGAACCGTGTAGTCAGCTGCATGGCATCTAACCACCACACCACCAACTGGCCTTTGTTTCCTTTTTTAAACATAGCTGTGCTGACAGTGTTTACTGACAAAGCAGCATGGTCCGGGTGCAGCTGCAGACGCTGATTGAGCTGCTGCTGTTTGTAGACTGAGTCCACTTGTAAGACTCAGGTTTGATTTTTGGCCCCCCCCAGAAGCCAGGTGTAGTGGTAGACTCCTTAGTGCCAGCTACCAGGGAGACTGAGGCAGGAGGGTCATGACAACAAGCTTTGTCTTTAAAAACAGAAGAAAGAAAAGAAAAAGTAACATGTTATGATAAACACGATAGGATGTAAGCATATTTCCTTCTTAATTACAATTTATAGTCGCTGCATAATACCCTGTGGGTGTACGTTGTTTAGTTATTCCTTTACTATTGGAAATAGGTAGTTTTAATTTTTTCACTGTTATAAAATCTGTAGTGTATATCTTTGGATATGGAACTTTATTTCTTATATTTTGAGTTTTCTTATGGGATTATTTGGTCTTTTTTTCCCCTACTTATTTTCTGCTATAGGGTTCATATACTCACCAGAAAGAGAAAGAGATCAACCCCCATGGGGATGACCATGCTACAGTCCCCACTGCCCACTATCCTCTTGGGGTTGGGGCATGCACATGTGCCTGGTGTGTTTCAGGCTGCTGAGCCAGGGGCCTGAGCTGCACAGTTGCCCATGTGGGATGAGGGATGCAGCCACCTTGACCACCGTGCTCCCTGCTGGCCAGGGTTGTTTGGTCTTTCTAACCCTCAGAGCTGCTTCAGGAAGTGGTAAGACTGGCACGGGCCTTTCAAGATGTTCAAGAGGGATTTCTTTACTGGATTAGATCTTGGACACGGTCACGCTACGTTTCCTTTCCACTCTGATCCTGTGCGTTTGTTTCAGGGCTGAGAATTCTGTGGTACTGAGTTGGTGATGGAGAGCATCAGGCTCAGGGTCAGGGATTTGAAGCCTAGTCAGGTGGTTGGACTCACCGCCATGGGGGGTGCGCATGGAGCAAAGGGACTTGGGCCTCTTCAGCTGCATGCCTCGTTCCTACCTGCAGGGTGCGCACCATCTTCTTCCGTGCCCTTCCCCAGCTCTCCATTTCCTGGTGAAGCTTCACTGCCCCCCACCCCCATCCACTGCGGAGGTCCTTCGGCACTGGGGCAGGACTGGACTGGCCAGGCAGTAGCCAGTTCACTGGGTGAGCTGGCCACAGCTCTAGGAGGAGAATCGGGTCTCTGAAGCCACCTTGTTCCAGACCCTGAGGTTTGATGCTGTTTTTCCCCCAGGTAATTAAATGTGTGCCCTGTGGACCTGCACGTGGCTGGAATGCTCAAGGGTCCTGAAGATCCTTCGGTAGCTTCCTTCTGTCGAACCTGTTAAGATGGCAAAAGGCAACATAACTAGAGACCTCATCCGCAGGCAGGTCAAGGTGAGCAGCCCAGCCCTCTGAACTGAGCACGGGGTCCCCCCTTCCCTGGAGAGCCCTTTACAGATGAAAAGACACAGGTCTGGTGTGGGTGACTTGCCAAAAGTCGCGTTGTGGCAGACTCAGGACTAGAGCCAAGGACTTTTCCCTCCCCATCTTTTATCCAAGAACATGGGCTTAATGGAGACTCCTCTGCCTGAGCACTTGTGCCTGGGCTGCTGAGACTCACATAGGCATCAGTGTGGGGGGTAGGGGACGCACAGCTGGGTGGTGCCCCAGCTGCGGCGTTGTGTGCAGGCTGGAACCTGGGCAGTCTGAGTCTGAGTTCAGCTTAGCTATCCTTTCCTCTCTGAGGCCATCCGACACTAACACCTGTCCTCGGCCGCGTGTGTAGAGACACTCAGACACCCGTGAGATGAGCAGCTGACTGGGAGTCCAGTTCAGCTGGTCAGGTAGCCCCGGCCACGCCTAGGAGAGCAGCCCCAGAGGTTTGAGTGTGGATTCAGCAAGATGTGACGTGCCTCTGAAGTGACAGTCCAAGCTAGGGTCCTAGCCCTAGCCCTAACCCAGTCCCCCACAGCCCTGAGTAGCTACACAAGACCAGCACTTTCCCTCTGTGCCTTGGTCTTCCTGTTCCAATGATGTAACATTGCCTGCCCGCGGGATGATCTTGAGAATGAAATTTGAATAAACACGAGGAAGTTCTTCGAAAAGCTTAAGTGCTTAAAAATATTGAAACTAGAAATCATTTCCAGTGACATGCCACAGAAGCTGTAGCCCCACCTGGACCAGCTGAGTTTCTCTGCGTTAGCCACCTCCTGGCACCTGTTTGCTGTGTGTTTTTTCCCTGCGTCCCTGAATCCTTTTTAACTTTGTCCATTTGTGGGTGCTTTGCGATTCCACTGGACCAGGTATCCTTGAGGACAGGGCCCAGACCAGCTGGGTTTCTCCCCTTTGCAGATCCCACAGCGTGTGCCCTGACTCTCCACACTAAATATGGAAACACCCCTCTTTCCTGTTTCCAAGTTTTTCTTCCTTTCCTTTTTTTAAAACTTACCGGGACAGGAAAACTTAGTGCTTAGTTATGTACTCTCTCCTGTTCTCTGATCTCTGCCCAAGAGAAGTGTAAGATTTTGCAGGCCAATTCCATGTTATTCTTTCTAGCTCCTGTGGTGTCCAGCACAGAGCCAGACATACAATGGGTCCATAATAAAGCCATGTTGAACTGAATCCATAAACTGAGTTTTCTCTGTCCACCAGGAGCGGGGTGCCCTGAGCTTCGAGCGGCGCTATCATGTCACTGACCCCTTTATCCGGCGGCTGGGCCTGGAAGCAGAGCTGCAGGTAAGGGATCCAGCTGCGTCCTAGAGGTGGATGGCTGCTCTCCACTCTCCCTGCAGAGCTGCTTGGCACCGTCCTCTGTGCATCACACCTAACGGGACAGCTCCTTCATCAGGCAGCGGGACGCAAGCACATAGAAAAAGGGTTTTGGATATATCTGCTTTGTACTTGGGAAAAGTTGGTTGAATTTCATACTTTCACTATTGGCTTACACAGTAATGATTCTTCCCTGTACAGAGTAATTTAGAATTTATAATTTTTTTTCATATGCACACACAACGTATACAAGTGTGCTCAGATACAGGCACACACACAAATGTTTGTGTGATGTCCCATGTTAACTTCAAAGCAGTACTGTGAGAACATGGATGGGGTGTGGATATTTAAAAAAGAAAAAAAAGGCCAAGTTCTGAATTTGCCCTGTCAGTTTCATGGAGGGACCAAGCCTTTGGTCCGGTTCAGCCATGTCGTTGTGTCTGACACCCGTTTGTGAGCTCTGCCCCTCCTTTCCTCAAGACCATGTTCTAAGCCCAGTTTCGCTGTGCAGCCCAGTGTGGTGTGAGCTGTAGGCTGAGTAAGAATTCTCCTGCTTCCTTCAGGTTTATGTTTGTAAATGATCACGTTAATCTTAGGACTAGAAATAAACTTATTGAATGTTAGTGTTACCTATCTTGAGGTGGTAAGATTATAGATGATCATTACTGCTTTCTCTTGATTATAAACTTTTATTAATTATAAAATGTAATTGTGTTGGGGCCAGTAGGTGGCATGGTGGTTAAGGGCACTGGTTTTCCACATAGCCAACGCCAACCACAATTCAAGTCCTGGACCTAGCAGCTTGCTATCTCTTTTTCCCTCTGTCTCTCTCTCTGGTCAAATTAAAATAATAATAATTACACCCAAAAAAATTCTACAAAATTATCATAAATATATTGAACATTATCTTTACAATTCAGTATTTTGAAATTTTGAAAGTTGTTTCTTAATTGTCAAGAACTATGGAGTATGAGCAAAAATTTTTTTGATATGTAAAGTAAATGTGGAAAAATGTAAAAATAAAGACAGGTGAAATTAAATTTACTAATTAAAAAATAATAAAATAATTATTAGAGTTAAATGAAAGAAATTTTAGTAGTTTGAAAAATTATAACTGTGTTAATAGTAATGCAGAAAAGATTAGGGAAAATCACTTCTGAATCCCACTCCCCAATATAATTACCATTAGTATTTTATATATTTCCTTTTATCTCCTGCATATTTTTACATAATTGTAATCCTGTTTTACATTGAATTTTGTATGTTTGCCAAGTTATTGTACGATAATCCTGTTCTCCATGTTATCAAGTAGTCATTGCAACTTTATTTTTTTTCTGATTGTATGGTAGAAGTAATAAATATCACAGAAAATAAGGAATAGATAGATAAGAAAACAAAATTATTATTTTTTTAGCAGAGATTTTTGCTATAAGACATGTGTACTTGCCAGAGAGACAGAAAGTGAGAAATCACCCTCCAAGGGGATGACCATGCCACAATTCCTTCTCTATTCTCCTCTTGGGATTTTGGGCATGCACAAGTTTCTAATTTTTAAGTTAATATGATGAGCATTTAATTTCCCTCTCTCTTATTTAATTTCTCATTTGATGAACATTGATAGATATAACCCCTACAAACAAAACCTCCTGGGGATCTTCAATAGTTCTCTTTTCTTTATTTTGCCAGAGGGCTTATACACTCACCAGAAAGAGACAGAGAGAGGGAGATGCACGGGGAAGAGCAACTCCGGGTGGGGTGTGGTCTTGCTGCTCTATCCCTGTTCTGTCGGGGTTCTAGGCATGCTCAGAGCTGCATGCTCTTCAAGCTGCAGGAGCTGGGATTCGAGCCTTGCGGTTGGCCCCATGGTATCCGGCTCCCTTAACTACCAGGCCATGAAGCTAGTTCAGTAAGTTTTAATAGCACAAAGGGGCCCGGAGGCTAAGAAATTTGAGAACGACTTGTCTGTAGAACCAGGCGATGTCACCTGGGGAAAGTGGAAGGAGTGAAAAGTCAGCGTGTCCCGGTGCTCAGAGAATGCCAGTTTCTGCTCTCCCCCAGCCCCTGTGGCAGAATGAGTAGCCATGGTGGTAGGAAAGCTGGGTCCTGGAAGTGAAGGACAGAATGTTCACTGAGCTGGCTAGACCAGGTGGCTAGGCCAGGGACTTGAACTGCAGTTGCAAGGAGTTGCAAGGTGGAATCTGATTTCTCTTGAGCATGTGTTACAGCTGTGCGTCGGAGCTGTCTTCCTTTCTGTTTTTCATTTGCCTGTTTTTAGAGAGATTTTTGCTATAGGGCACACGTGCTCGCCAGATAGACATAGAGACAGAGAGGTGGAAAGGGAGAAATCACACACACACACCCCCCAGGGGGATGGCCACACTGCAGTCCCTTCTCCTCCATTCTCCTCTCGAGATTTTGGGCACACATGCACCCATGCCTGGCATAAGTTTCAAGTCGCTGGGTCCTGGACTTGAACTGTACTTGACATGGGGATGCCCAGCAACATAACCATCACACCATCTGCTGATCCTCATCTGCTTATTTTTGAGTAGATCAGTATTCATATGTCTTGCTACAAAAAGCTTTAAGAATTGTCTGCTTTCCATTTTTTCCCCAGCTACTAATTCATTTATTTGGATTCAACTAATATTATCTGTTAGAGTACCCTTTCTTCATTCTTTCATGAAGTTTTTTTATCCGTAAGTTAGATGCTCCTAGTTCTTCGCTCTTTCCTAGTTTCAGAGTTCTGTGACTGCACCACCCTTACGTAAACCGTCCTTACTGACAGGCAGGCGTGCAGGTAGTCTCCAACATGTGTGAAGGCCATTCCTCACGGCGGCTTTCGCCACATGCGGAGTGTGTCTGCAGAGCAGCACCTGGATGGGAGTGGCCGGGCGGAGGATGTACGTCTGTGCCGCTGTGAGTGCCCCATGGCGGTGCCTCCTGGAGCCTGCACCAGCTCACAGCCTGTCCTGTCCCGCCCCTTCACTCCACCCTCGAATATAACGCTCTCCCCAGTCCCATCATTGCTCTGAGAAATTTCACAGATGAACACCACGTAGGGGCCAGACAGACCAGCACTCAGCGCCTAAGACACGCTGAAATGAGGAAGGGACAGGCAAAGCAGTAAGTCTGGTAGGCTTGTGTGTGAGCGGCACAGGAGTGACAGACGGCTCAGCTCAGGACGGACAAGCGCAGGGTGCACAGCAGTGGACGGCTGACCGTGTGGTGGCTCCGTGACAGGGCGTGATGACCTGTGTTGAGACTGGGCCTTATTCTGCTACAGGACAGCCTCGGGTAGTGTCTGCAGAGGAGCGTCATAAGCACAATGACACTTTTTCTTTATAGAGAGATTTTTGCTATAGGGTGTGTGTGCTTGCCAGAGACACAGAGAGACAGAACAAGAGAAAGTGAGAAATCGCCTCCCCAGGGGGAGGATGGTTATACTACAGTGCTTTCTTCTTCATTCTCTTCTGGGGATCTTGGACATGCTACCAGGTCCAGGACTCGAACCGCAGTTAGCCATGCAGGAGTCCAGGGCCTTAACCACTATGTAACCTGCTGGCCCCCAGTTATGCTTTCTTATTTAAAAAAAAAATTTATTTAATTCCACTTGTTATTATAGTTAGTAGTATTATTTTAATTTGACCAGAGAGAGAGAAACGGAATGCGAGAAAGCAATCCACCAGTCCGGAACTCAGACTACAGTCAGCCACGTGGAAATCCAGTGCCCTTAACCACCACGCCACCTGCTGGCCCCACCCAGTTATGCTTTTAAAAATAGTAACCTGGCAGCTATTTTGTGGGAGAGCAGCAATAGCACAGAAGCGCTGCGGGACTGGGCTGAAGCAGCAGAGGTCCGGCCTGTGCAAGCAGCGAACCGAGACTGAACATACAGATGCACAGAGCGCGGAGGACGCACTGGCTGCCGAACACTGCCGCCTCCCCTTTCTCCCTGCTGGCTGTGCCCAGAGGATGAGCCCAGCCTTCAGGGCCATGGCCGTGGAGCCCCGCGCCAAGGGCATCCTGCTGGAGCCCTTTGTCCACCAGGTCAGGGGCACTCGCATGTGCTCCGCTTCAATGAGACAACCCTATGCGAGCCCCTGTTCCCGAGGGAGCACCAGTTTTACGAGGCCCTCCCAGCCGAGATGTGCAGATTCACTCCCCAGTACAAAGGAAAGTGTGGCCCTCGAGCTCCCTACTCTGGCTCTTCTGCACCCAGAACTGGGGCCACCTCAGAAGTGTCACCTCTCTGACCGTGCATTCCCTGCAGCAAGCACACAGGCAGGCAGCAGAGACTGAGCAGATTGATTGACCCTGGGGCAAAGAGGCCTGGGAGGAGAGGTGTTCAGCCGGCCTGTGGTAAGGCGCTCGTCGGCACCTGACAGCCCTCCTCTGAAGGACTGTCTGCTCATACACATGGCAGGTTCTAGAGACTCAAGGGAGAGCTGCTTTCAAGGCCACCGCGTCCGTGCCCCCCGCCCAGCCCCACCTGCCTGCGTTCATTTTATTCATTTGTGACACGGGACTGCAAAGACCGATAGAAACATATTTGAGAAGGAAAAAAAAAAAAACATTAATCTTGGCTTCCAAATGAAGACTAGATTTCAGGAGTATAAACGAGAACCAGGTAAGAGCCCACGGCAGTGATCGGAA